TTTCGTGCTTGGTAGCACTTGTCAGCAAGGTATATCTGGAACCTGGAAGGAACATATGTCCCTTATTTTGAGATCCGAACTCGCATCATTCGGTGCTGTAGCCAGAGTTGTTACCACTGAGCAATTAGAGACTGCGATTCACCTCCTGTATGACTGTACTGGATACTCTCAAACAACTTCGCAGGAAAAAGAAACATTATACAAATCCAAAGACAAGTTAGGACTCAAAAAGATTAATGCTCAGATCAAATCTGAAATCAAAAATCTTAATGCTATCTATAATGATACACTTTTATCATGTAAATCTCCAATCAGCATGTGGAAACTTTTTAATGAAATTACTGGCAATAGTAAGCGTTGTAATGTAAACTTCGAAGACCCCAAACAATTTGCCTGTAGACAGGGTAGGAGCACTTTAGACACTGCAGCTGTCTTACACAACAACATCATCTCATCATTAGATAAAGGTGCCAAATACGTCCGCTGCACGCTTCTCGACTTCACTTCTGCTTTTGACTCTGTTCCTAGATGTCTCCTGCTAAATAAGCTCTCTTTGACAAAAACTGAGTCCTGGGTCACTAACTGGCTGCATTCCTACTTCTCTAACAGAAAGCAGTACACCGTATACAAAGGTAAATCATCCTCTGCTGTACTCACTGAAGCCGGAGTCCCCCAAGGTGCTGTACTCTCCCCACCTCTCTTTTCTTTCCTTCTACATGACTTACCATCTTCAAATGACATTAATTTTGTCAAATATACTGACGGTCTGACTGTATCTTTGCCTATCAAATGTCAAAGCGACTGCTCTAAAGTTAATGGCTTTCTGTCAGAAATCAGCCAGTGGCCCAAGGAAAACGTTTTTACCCTAAACCCCTCCAAATGCCAAACAGTCAATTTCACCTCTGGGCATAAATCCGACCTAAACAAACTGTTTGGCTCTCACGAGGTATGCAACATAGACGGCACTGAAATAGAAACCAAATCGGAAATTAAATACCTAGGTGTCATTCTATCTGTTGATCTCTCCTGGTGGTCTCATATCTTAGCAATTTCTAAGAAAATATTCCGTCTTACCTTCTACATTAAGAAGTTAAAACATTCTGGTATAACCCAACCCTTATTCCTACAATTCGTTAATTCTCGCATCCTGCCTATTATTCTCTATTGTTCCCTCTTAGTTTTTCCCGGGCTACTGAAGAAAGACTATAACATATTGCGCAGGATGTTAAATGTTGTCAGCAGGGTTAGCAACGTGCCACTTAACCAGCTTGTTAATATTCTGGTCGACAGGCACATGGACTCCTGTGAGAAATGGGCTAAATCCATTTTATCTAACTCACACCACTCTCTTCACTCACAACTCTCCCCTGGCATCTCTTCAGGCAGGACCAGAAGCCTATATAGAAAACTATATGCTCGCACCAGCAATTACAAAAACTCAACCATACCCTACTTAGCTCGCGTTCTGTGTGATAAAGAAAGCATTAGGCGTGACACCTATAATTCATTAAATAGTCAGTAGTACAACTGGATCTCGTCTTTCCAACTCACATCATCAATAGGTACAACATTTTCGACCCCGATAAATTTGTTTTCAATCACTCCTCCGTCAGCTTGTCTACCTTACAACTAGAAGCCCTATCTTTAGGGTTGAAATTTTGTGATGTAAATCTATACAGTAACAGACTACACACGTATGTCTAATTTGAAAATCTTATGAGTCAAACAAGAGACATCACACCCGTCTCTGATGCAGATCTCTTACATTTCAAGTCTACAATTTCTGACTGCTGCAATCAATACCTCAATTCAAAAACTAAAGCCCGACACCTCCTGACAAAAGAACATAAACAGCAGCTTAAAGACTTGAGAAACAACAAAGACCTGATCATTACACGTCCAGACAAAGGTTCGGGAGTGGTCCTTATGGACCGAGATGTGTATATCAACAAGTTGACAGCTCTAATCTCTAATGATAATAAATTTTCAAAACCAGACAATGAGAAGAATAAGACAGAGCAGATGGAACAGCAACTGACAGATGTTCTTAGGAGAATGAAGAACGACTACCTCATAACTGAGGACCTATTTGAACGTCTGAGACCAACAGGATCCATCATCCCTCGACTATATGGTCTGCCAAAGGTACACAAAGCAGGCCTACCACTTCGACCGATTTTGGACATGGAGGGATCACCGTACCATCCCATTGCCAAATGGTTATCCGAGATGCTGGAGCCTGTGAGACGACAACTCTGTAAGTACTCTCTACGAGATACGTTTGAATTTATTGAGTGCATAAAAGACCTGAATGTAAATGGCAAACGAATGTTATCACTGGACGTGGAATCTCTATTTACGAATGTGCCGCTCACAGAAACAATTTGTTTCCTTTGCAAGTATATTGATGACAATAACCTGAGCATCGGAATACCAGCCTCATACCTAAAAGAGTTGTTATTAAGATGCACACTCAACGTACAATTTACGTTCAACGACGTCATCTATAGACAGAAAGACGGGATTGCTATGGGCTCTCCCCTTGGCCCACTCCTAGCAGACTGCTTCATGGCCAGCATGGAAAACGGCATCCTTAAACCAACAATGAACAAATTGTTGCTGTACAAAAGATACGTCGATGACACTTTTATAGTTTGTCAAGACGATTCCGATTTAAATTGCATCTTACAGGAGTTTAATAACTGTCATCCTTCAATTAAATTCACAATGGAAGTTGAAAATAAATCAAAGATTCCATTCTTGGACGTCGAATTGACAAGAAGAGACGACGGAACTCTGAAAAGATCTATCCATAGAAAACCAACATGGAATGGCCAGCTGACAAACTTCTACAGTTGGGTACCTATCAGCCGTAAAAGAGCTCTCATCATCTCACTAGCCCACCGCACCAGAAGAATCTGCAGTGATGACTGTTTAGAAGAAGAGCTCCTATTCCTAAAAAGCATCCTGATTCAAAATGGATACCCGCCACGTTTCGTGGAGAAGAACATGAAACCAAGGACAAAAAGAGAAGAATACATTTCAGTGAAAAAGAAGACACTCTATCTGAATCTGGAATTCAGGGGAGACCTGGCAGCAGATATCCTTAAAAGGAGAATCTCCAAATCCCTGAAGAAGACTTTTCCGGCAGCAACTCTAAGAGTGACATTCTCTAGCCGCCCACTTCTTCGGAGCAATGGGAAGGACAAACTGTCGCACACGGCCAATTCAATGCGCATTTACCAGTTCACCTGCTCGTGCGGAGCAAGATACATAGGTCGTTGTATGCGCGTCCTTTCAAAACGTGTTAGAGAACACTACCCAGCGTGGCTGCAAGGAGGAGGCACCGGTTCAATCAGAAGTGCCATTACTGAGCATCTGGTCAATACCTCCCACAACATCTCAACTGATTCATTCAAAGTAATTTACAAGGTCAACAGAAACCTTCCGAAAGCAGTTTGTTTCCGACTTCTCTGTACTGCAGAAGCCCTCTCAATATGCATCGAGAAGCCGGAGCTGTGTGTCCAAAAGAAATTAGTTCAACCTCTACAACTACCATGGACTTAGTTCGGTATGTTACCGTAGCTTCCATTTTTGTTTCTGTTTTTTTTTTTTGATCCCTTTTCGTTCGCTATGTGTGTGATTCTTACTCCCTCAGTCTTCATTCGATTCACCCCATTTTTTTTTCCAGTTATAAAAACATTTATTTTAAGTTTGTTTCCATGCTTTTCCTGTTCACATTTATAATCCGTTTTAAAAAAAAATTTGCAATTATATCTTAATCCTGTGCAATTATTTTGTGTTTCTAAGGCTCTTGTAATCTATATTCACACCTCCTAACTTCCATTTTAAGTTAAAACTATTATATCAATTTTGTTTCCATGTTCACTTTCTGCACACCTGTAATTTGCTAAATTCCATGTAATTTTGTTTCTAAGGCTCTTGTAATCTATATTCGCACCTCCTGATTCCCATCTCAAGTTGAAAATTATTATTTCAATTTTGTATCCATGCTCATTTTTACACACTTGATATCCGTTCTAATCCTGCGTAATTTTTGTTTCTAAGCCTCTCGTATAACCATATCTAGTTGGAAATAATTATCACCTTTTATTCGCTGTCATAATTATGTAGAATCAGACAAGAATTGTCTCCATGTAAAATCATGTATTTAAATGCGATTGTACAGCTTTTGAAAATGAAATCGCCGAAAAGATATCTTTGCTGAACTTCTTATTCTTCTCAACAACATTTTCTTTCTTTCTGTTCCTTTTCTCTCTCTTCTTTTTCCGTTATGTGCTGCTTTGTCTCTTTCTCTCGCTTACGCCAGTTAATAAGACAGCTCCCACTTTTCTAACACCTTCAAACACTGTTTCAGCTTTACCTTTGCTACTGACATGCCAATGTATTGTTGTAATAATGAACTGCGGTTTCCTCAATCTATGTAGAATTCTATTTATTGATAATGTACTAACTGGATGCAATACTGTAGTAAAAATGCTGAGAATTCCATTCTGTATCACATGTGCTGTTTTGGAATAAAGCAAATTATTATTATTATTTATTGGACATTGGTTAATAACTAGTGTCGTGCATCTAGTCTTTTGTTTGCTATAGACTGAATTATGTCAGTCAGGTGACCAGATGACCAGCTGGCCATAAAGTGATAAGTAACAATGAACTGGCAAAAATAGAACCAACCAAGAACCTTACAAACATGAAGCAGGAAATGGAGGTGAAGTGAAACCATGGTCCGGATTCTGAAACCCGTATGAGAAGTGGAAGACGAGTCACACCTGATTCCAAGTGTGATCGTGTACTGAAATCTTATGAAAAATGTTTGAGAACAGAGCAAAGTGGAGACGTGTCCTGGCTGAGGCCGTATTTGCCACTCGTAACCCAAGTGATTATTAATACAAAACCAAATGTAAAGTTTAAAAAGTCACCATTCTCCTTTTCAAAGAAAAATAACAAGTTGATGTAATTTTTTTCCTTTTTAGGGTGGAATGTATATTTTCCAACTGTTCGATTATTACAGTGGAAGTCGTATTATCCTGATCGTAGGCTTACTGGAATCAGCAGTCATTGGATATATTTACGGTTAGTTATTAGCAATTTTGTTTCTCTTTTCATTTCTTGGAGTTCCAAGAGGAACTTAAGGCTTCAGTAGCGATTGCCTTCCTTGAACGGAGTGTAGTCGTTAGACTCAAACCCGATCATTTTTTTCCAGACTTTGCACCAGCTGGCCGAGGCTCATGAGTGAGTCATCATCGGCCCAGAAATGAATCTTGGACCTTGTTCCGTATTCTGTTTGACTATAATCTGACGCTTAGCTGGTTACATACCACTGTGTGATTGGAATGAGTAGCTGAATACTTCTTTGCTGCCTAGCCAGATAGAGGTGGTGGTCTAACCCCCGACCTACTGATTCGTCCGTTCAGGCACGAGTTTCTCAGATGTGTGCCATCCAGTCTGACTGAGCTCAAAAAGACATATCACTTCAAAACACACCCGATTTCCGGTTGACTAGCTAGTTGATTGAAAATATTATTCCACAACGTAGTTGCAGAAAGGTAACATTAACGGCTCTGCATAAGGAGGACTGCGATAATCCAACATCTTGTCAACACACTGATCATTCCATCTCAACAAACACCACCTTCAAAGTTATCTACAGTGTGTGGAGAACAACCTTCCAAAGACATTGTGCTTTCGTCTTCTTTGAATTGCTGAAGCTCTACCCATTAGATGCAGAAATCAGAGGTATGCGTAATCGGAAGAGAATTAATGAAGCACTTCTACTACCCTGATGGTAACAATCACATTGTTGCTGATTTTTCCTCATCTGATTTTCGTTTGATTGTTTGTTTGCTTTTCTAACTGCTTAGAATTCATGTACTTCTTTAGAACTCCCATATGATTCCACATTTTCCTTCGTTTCTACATGATTACCCTGATCACAACTCACTGATTAAATTACTTAACTCTAATACCCTTCCTTATTCAACTCCTCTTATGCATTGACTGAGAATATTGTGAACTATGATGATGACAACAATTAATAACCTCTTATATGAAAATGGGATTGTACATAAATGCGACTGTATAGGTCTAAAGGGGAAAATGAATTCTCTAGGAGGGGTGGAGTGCCTCTTTCCTGACCTACGTGTTTCGTTTCATTAATGTCGAGATTGCGTGGAGGATTTCATCATGAGCTGTCGAGATAAGAGTATTATGCATGAATTGAAATCTGATCAGCGTGGCAGTGCAGTGGAGCACCTAAGTCTTATCGTTACCAGTGACCATAAAACAGGTTCATACGCGTCATTCGGTCTTTTCTGATTGTCAATCCCATGTGCACAACACAAGCTAAGTCCAGAATCAGAGTTCTCCAGCTCCCTCCCCCAACCAAGGTAGACCAGCATGTTAAGCAGTCTAGATGTTTGCATTAGTCCTTTCACTCACTTTCATCAGAAAAACAATCCGACCAACCAAAACTTGGTGCGTCGGTGGCACAGTGGTTGGGACTCTCGCCGACCATGCACATAGTTCGGGGTTCGACCCCCTGCCGGCGCACACCTGATATCTATGGTGGGCCTGAAAAATTTGGGCTACCAATATCACATGCTGAAAATTCCATACCTGTACCAAAAATACGGTGTGGAATCAAGCTGTAATCAAAAAAATTTCAAAAATATATACTACTGACTAAACGAGATGAGTAGTTGTATGCAGTCACTCACAGCTCAACCAGTAGTGCTGACTAGCCAGACAGAGAGAAGTGATCTAAAAACTGGACGGCCGTTTCGCTCTTTCGAAGTCTATATCACTTATGACATCAAGTGGATCACAAATTATGATCTGAATGATGTTTTGGTTTACAAAGGAGTCTGTGGCGAAATCGTATTCCGAAGTGTGTATATTTAGAATTAATTTGCTAATTGCAGATTTGATTTAGTTAGTTGGTTGGCTGGTTTTTCAGATTAAACCAGGGGTTCATTCTTCAGTGGTACAATCGTTTAAACTACAGGTGGCAGTACCGATGAGGATGTTTAAGCTACAAAGCCAAACAGGCTTTCATTTACTCCGAAGTGTGTGTGGATATCTACGGGACTCATTCCAAGGTACGGATCTTCAACACTAATATCATGTCAGTATTTTTAAGAACACAATGTTCAGGGAATAGACTCTTTTCAACGAATTTATTATGAAGCTATACAGTCGTATATATGAGTTCGGGAATTGAATAAAAGATGCGAAAACATGAAATGCAGTTAAAATATTTGTGATTATAATCATAGTTAAATGTCAAGTGCCAAAACAAATAACGCCATATATAGACTTATTTATAAAATGTAAAGATGTTGGAAAGGGGTTTATAATTATAGGGTTAGTAGGCTAATATAAAACGTTGCATAACATGGTGTGAAATTTGCTAGTTAGCATGAATTCGATAGATGATCTTAAAATCATGTTCAGGGTCGGTAGAGGGACAGAAGCTGATCAAGTGTTCTAGAGTATAGCTTTGCATACCGTTCCTTTCTACCTTGTAGAATCATGCCTGAATATGTTCTCGTGCCTGGGTGGAAAGCGTTCTGTGACTACGGTCAATGTGTATCTTGATTCACAAAAGCAGGCAAACTAATAGATACAGATGGAGGTGGCCAGACGAGGTTTTTTCTTTTACAGAGATGGAGAACAACTTACAGTTAGTGGACGTTATCTGTAGTTTCGCAGCAAAGAACGTCTTATTGACTGATTTAAAGGGACAATTGTTGAGTACTTCTGAAGCCTGATCACCTTTGAATTACAATTTCATGGATACAATTTTCGTTGCAATTCAGTGTCAGTGACCAGTTTGGGTTGCTTATCTTTCTTGGTTTCTGTCAATAAATCGGTTCGGGGAACCTGCGAGCGTGACTTTTAGGAAGGAAAGTTCTGAGTCAACGCAGTTAGAATTACAAAAGTTCCGTTTTCAGGAGATAGGCACCGAACTATAAAAATTAGTTAATCGTCCATTCCATGTACATTTCCGGTGGATAGATCTTTTGAGGAACCCGTCATTGCGTCTACTAAGGCATACATTAAGAACGAGTATTCTTAGTTCAGATACCTTTTCTATGGTGAATTGCAAAGAGGCACGGTAGTTGTTGAATGCAAACAAGATTTCATCAACAATCACGTTCTTATCTCAGATAACGAAAGTCTCATCAACATATCTTCGATAAATATTGTCAAAGCGACCGATGGTTGGACCAGGCTGGGAGGTTTAAAGCTTCGCCATAAAACAATCAACCAACAGTGGACCCAGTGGCGATGGCATCGCAATGCCATCCATCAGTCTAGGCATCTCACTATTGAAAATAAACTGAACGTTCGACGTGCATCTCAAAAAGAGTTCTTTGAGGTAGGTTGTTGGTAACCCTACGTCTAAACTATTTGCATCCGTATAATCACACATATAACAAACAGTTTCGATATGCCTCAGAGAACTGATAGTTTCCAACAGACAGACTTTCATCAACCGCAACCTACTTTCTTTCGTTGATTAGGTAGGGAAGATTTTCCACTACCCTAGGCCGATTTTGATGTGGTTTAAAATATGTAAAAATGTGACGTGCTTTTTCCCAATGAAAGTTGCAGCCTAATAGTAACAGGTGCCAGTCTTTGTCTTCTGATATTTACGCGGCTCATCGAAGTGGAAGGGACCATGGACTGAGTCATTATTATTATACCCAGGCATAATTCCACTAGGTTAAATCAACTGTCCACGCGATCATATCAGTCAGCAGTAGGCCCAAAAACAAATTGGTGCCGATTGCATTTCAACTGGAAACATAAATTATAGCAGTTCCTTAAATGGAACCTCAATGAGAATCGACAAGTTGGACAACGGATGACTAGGACGGAAAATAAGACTATGCGCAGTCATGGAACTAGTTGGAAGTTCCAAAAGAGGATGAAGAGCAGTGTAGATGTACTTGTGAATCTTTATTATTTAATAATATTAAAAAGTACGGTAGTAATTTTACTGATATATATATATATAACATTACATGAATATGTATTCAGATAAGTCCTAATCCATTTACTGACAACTGAACTTTTACAATAGTGAGTGCATTCAAGTGGACCTCATAAATGACCTGATACAGTGAACAGTGGGTAGACTCCGGTCTCCCTCTCTCTCTCTCCCAAAATGTTCCTGTATGGCCTTTGTAAGTCCTTTGCACTGTCTTCACGAGGCATGAGGAATGTTACTTACAAAAGTGTAAAAGTGCAAATTCAAACGTCTGGCTTTTCCATCTAGACAGATAAGAGATATGCATGTCCGGAAAATACTATTACACACATATGCTGTGTAAATTGGCTCCGAAATCCCCCAAAAGTGGATCAGTTATGAATCTTGATTCAGGTGTGTTCTTTAAGCTGGATGTAATGTGGTGAGTGCTACTTATAATCAGACATAAGTAGTATATAATTAGCGAATACAGAAAAGTAACAATATGTTTTGGACACTAGAAAAAAGCAAATGAAAAAGAGAACTGTGAGGAAAACGCTACAAACACTGTTCAGAATCCAACAAGACATCGAATGTGGTTACATTCGACCAATTTGCAAATGATATGTAAATAAAGCATTGAAGATAAGGTATACCGAATATATGTAGCTACAGTGAGTTTGTCCTACTATACACTCCTTCGAACCTCATCCGTCTTTTCTTTGACCCGCTTCTAGGCAATATCTTCCTTCAATGCAAGTTATAGTATGAAATGAATTTATTCGAATTCTCCATAAATGATAATATAATTGTCTTACTTCTAACAACCACTGTCATGATAGGTTGTCAATTTAAATTGACCACTTTCATTCGCTTGTAATGTGAACTTCCTGATCACGTCATTCATTTTTCATTAGTTGGTAAATTTGGCCTATAGTAATATGTTTGTGTGTCAATCGCTGATTCATTTGAGTACGAGGCTTCTAGAAATTCTATGGTTGTGTTTTTGGTGTGTTTCCTCTGTTTAAAAATTTCTATATTTTCCCAATCAAATCGATGTCCGTAATTGTAAATATACATTGATATGAAGCAGGAATACATATCCGGTGCCTTTTCATAGCTAATTTATGTTCTCTGATTCTGATTCGAAGGGGACGCCCACTTTGATAGTATCACTGAAAATGCAGCTGCTCCTAATGCTTCCCCACTCACTATCATTATGGATCAGAATCCAAGTCAAAGGCTCCAGATAGATGTGAGACCTTAGGGCAACTAACTGATCGGATCCCGGATTTGGAACAAAAAGTGTCCTAGCCCTCACACAGACTATAGGATAACGGTTTTATGTGACGCATCTTATGATGCATATAACGCGTACCAACTTTGTATTTTAATAGTTCGAATTTGAGAGGAACACTGAATAATTATCAGGGGCCAGTAGGCAGTTGTTTCGCCTTCATTTCCAACTCTTCAGCAACATGCACCCACAAATGTACCACCAGAAATTGAACTCATGACCTACAGATTACATGGAGAATATCCTCAGTCGTTAGCGGGATGGAATCTAACAGCCACGATGAGCTAATGTTGTTGGTGAGTATTAACGTCCTTACACCAGACAATTTGGTGGAATCCACACTGGTCACACAACGTTTCACTAGGGTTTCAAGCAACCTCATTCTGTAGTTAGTCAACAATGAGTGTTGATTTGGTTTCAAGTCAGATCTCAAACTAAGATCAATTCGACAACTACTGAAAACAAGGAGGTTTGAAACTGTCTTCAGAAGTACTCATCCATGACATCAAAAAGAGGATCTAAATTCTAGTGGTAAGTCATTACCAGCAGGGTACAGCAGGTTGGGTGTGAGGACAAATACTCAACACCGATGACACTGGCTAATGCCAGTCGTGCTATATCATGCGTGAATTGGCAGGAGTTCGAATTCATGGAGTGACCATTTTATTGGCGGGTACCAGTGGCTGAATAGTCCTGGGTTTGACTTTCAGCGGGTTGGGTGCGCACTGATGATGAAGAGTCCCAGACTAGATGAGACGAAACAGCCAGGCCCTCTAATGGTTCTGTAACCGATGTCAGCCCATGATGAAATCCGGCAATACTTTAAAACTTACTGGTATTATTATTATTATTATTATTATTATTATTAGTACTACTACTTTTTTTCATAAAACCATATAATATAAAACAAGAAATATAAGCGAACAATATTGTTTTCAATTAGATATTCTTCAGGCTTTACCCTAATTTACATAGATTTATATATAAAATTCTTTAACCAATGACGGTGATTTTGGGAATCAAATAATAATAATAATAATAATAATAATAATAATAATAATAATGTGGTAAATGTTTTGAACGAAATTAATAACGATGATCATAATGATAACAAAATATTGATAATAAGGTTTATGCAGGTGATAAGAATAACAAAGATAGTATATGTATATAAGTGTAAAAATAAATTGGGTCAAATCTTAAAAGGTGAAGTGGAACGATAATCAGAGTTTAAATAAATATTATAAAAGTACGAAGGAGATGGAAAATAAAAAAGGGTGGGAGGGTTTCGAATAGAATTCACCTAGGCCAAGGGAGTGACAAAGGTAGAACAAACTTCCTTTGTATGCAAAGACTAGGATTGTTCTCTCGAATTAATTCCCATAGCTTCGGCTAGGTGTAAAAGACGGGTTCTGATTCCGTTCGAAAGACTCGATGGAATACGATAGATAACTTTGAAAGCACTATTTTTGTCCACTTGGTGACCGCTATCAATCAAATGAGCCAAAATAGAACTTCGTATGGATTTTATTTGACCTTTTCCAAACCACGAAGGAAGATGCTCATTAATGCGTTTGTAAAGCTGTCTAGTTGTTCGCCCTATATAGCTTTCTCCACAGGAGCAACTAAATTTATAGATACACATCGAAGTGGCTCAGCTAGGTAGCTTATCTTTCACTTGAGCAATCAAAATTGGTCGGCTGGAAAATGACAAACAAAGGGTGGCGGCAGTATAAGTCCGTTTTATCGCTCTCGATAATCTCAAATGTAAGACTTCACTAGCCACGTCCCCGTTAAATTGCAGTTTCATGAACAATTCTTTCTTTTTAACTGTTGTCAGTTTTTCTTTATTGTACCTGGTATTCATATGTCTCCTAACAAATCTACTAGGATAGCCCATTTGGACCAGCGTATTTTGGATATATCCTAGCTCATTTTCTAGGGAGTCATCTGTACAAATACGTCTTGCTCTATTCGTGAGGCATCTGACCAAATTGATTTTATATTGGATTGGTACAAAACTGAGAAAATGTGTATACTGTCCTACAGGTGTAGGTTTTCTATAGACATCTCTCTTGAGTGAACCATCCTCTCTTGTGCTCAATTGGACGTCAAGGAAATGTAATCCACCATCATGTTCTTCTTCACAAGTGAAGATGGGCGATGGATGTGCATCATTAAACTTTTTTAACATTTCATTCTTGTCAGTTTTCACATCAAGAATAATGAACGCATTATCAACATAAGAAAAATAAGAATCAGTTTCCTCTATTACTTGTCTCAATGGACCATTTTCAATCTTGGCAAGAAAGAAATCTGCCAAAATTGGCCCCAATGGAGAACCCATGGCAATACCGTCGATTTGCCTGTAGTAAAGGTTGTTGAATATGAAATGTACATTCATAGTACATCTTAAAAGCAACTCTTTCAGACTAATAACTGGAATTCCGATGTCGATCTGCTTTTCTAGTATCTGTTGGCATATGAATTCCACAGTGGTACATTGGTAAACAGTATTGCTACATCTAAGGAAAGCATTTGCTTCCCATTTACACTGATATCATCCACGTTATCAATAAATTCAAAAACGTCTTTAACACTATGATTTACTACCAACTTGTGTAGTGGTTGGAGGAGTTCACCTAGCCAATTTGCCACTCCATGGCAGGTAGAATTTGACCTATCCAGGACTGGGCGAAGAGGAAGTCCTGGTTTATGTACTTTGGGTAGACCGTACAGACGTGAAGTATTACTTCCAGTAGGTTTAAGAGGGTTATAGGCCGCCTCTGAGATTACTCTACTTTTACTCAGTTCCTTAAGCGTGTTAGTTAACTGCTTTTCAGCCTTTCCGTCCAGATCTATTGGGTTGATAAGCTTTTGGAACTTCGTTCCATCCGTTAAAAAAGAGTTCATTATGTCAACATAATCACACTTATTCATCAGTACTACTCCGGCTCCTGTATCAGGTCTACTGATTATAATGTTTTCGTCGTTCCTTAACTTTCTTAGGGCTTCTCGATGCTGTTTAGTCAGCACACTCTTACTAGGATGACTACTGTTTTTATACTGTTGACAACTGTCGACTAGTGTAGTTTTAAACCTAGCGACTTCACCGTCTGACGTTGGGGTCAAATCTTTTGTTTGTAGGAGGAGGTTTTCAAACTGGATGTTGGTATCGCGTTGGTTGACCTTATATCCTTGGTGACAAAATATAAGCCCCAGTGATAGAGCTTCTAACTGTATATATAAATCTATGTAAATTAGAGTAAAGCCTGAAGAAGGTCTAATTGAAAACAATATTGTTCGCTTAAATGTCTTGTTCTAATATTATAAATGGGAATATTTAAAGATTAGATATAATATAAAATCGTTCTTCATTATTTTTGAAAATTTATTAAACATTTTAGGCTTCAAACGTATCTCAAATGATATGAAAAGGATGTATGGTTTTTCCCTGAAATGGATTGTATTTTTATTTTGGTGCATACTGACACCGATATTCTCGTTAGTAAGTTTAACTAACTAACTACACTTCAATTGTTGCTTATTTCTTCTAACTATAAATTTAATGGGTGTCGCTGTGTGTTCTGTGAGCACCCTCTAGATGATAGTGTGGTTGTGAAGCAGGTTTCATTGCCCATCTTCCTAGGCACAACATCTTCATGAGTGCATACTTCACTGTTCTGAAGTAAGCTTTAAGTATTCTTCACTAGTGTATCAGTCATCAATCCATCTCTTCTGATAACCACCTATAGCATAACTTGTTGATTGTATTATTATACTATTAATCCCCTTAGGTTCCTAGTAGAACGTAGGCCTCCAACAGCACATTTAATCCATCCTGTTGCCTGCAGTCATCTTTACCTGTTGCCGTTGAACTCACATGCCCATCTTGTCGCTTTCCAATGAGGTTCCACTCGTAGGCTTATCCGACGTGTGATGTCACTCCTAGGTCTTCCAATAAGCATGTGTCCAATCAATCCATCTCCTTCCATTTTCTTCTGCCTATTTATTATTGAAATGTCAAATCTTCTTCGTCATATTGAGTACAGTAGATTTCCACAATGATTCCAGATTAATGAAAGTCAATCCTGCTTTTTCGATCCTGGCTGATTTTGAAATCTTCATCCGTGCCTCTGCCTTCAGTCAAAACAACGTTGACTACATGAGTGAAACACACGACAACTTTCTTCAAATTTCTCCCGATCTTGGTGACTGCTAATTGTTGTTGTTGTTGGTTAGTCACATATCTTTATCACCTCCGTCTTCTTCGTGTTCGCTTGAATTCTCTTCTTCGCTGCATGCCTCTTCTGCCAACTTTTTGTTAGTCTTCGGCTGGAGATCTTCAAGTTTGGTGCCATATTCGAAGTAAATCATCCCCGAAATTCAAATTTTCTAGAGTCTTCTTTTAAAACGGTCGTAAACAGTAATAAACTAGAGTGGATCAATCACTCCATTGGTCCATTGAGACAGGATATTTATTATAATGTGACTGGACAATCTAGACCGGATCTTATGTAAACCAATATCATTCGCTATTTGTTGGCTTAACTTTCCGAGATACACTGTATTTATCTGATTAATAATCACTTTATCCTAAGCTATAATTTTTCATGCTAAACGAAATTTTCAGTATTCTGAACATATTGGAAGGATTTATCTGTCTTCACAAAATAAATAAATACATAAAATAGTAAAAATATTAAGACTACAAAGCATAAATTAATGGAAGGATACATTTATGTATGATAATAATAATACTGGTAGTAATTTACTGTTCATATATTGGTTTGTAGGGATTTGATTGATTGGTTACAGGATTTCATCATGGACTGATACTGGTTAGAGAACCACTGGAAAACCTGAAAGTACTGGACAGCTGTTTCGTCCTAAATTGGAACTTTTCATCAGTACGCGTCCACTGGAGTCCGAACCCAGGACCTCCCATAACCAATCAATCAGATCCCTACAAATCAATACTTGAATATCAATGAGATGCTCACTAGCGACTGGACCTTTTAAGATAAGTAGTTACCTGGGTTCTAGTGGCAAGTCGTGACTAGTAGGGTACAGCAGGTCAGGTGTGAGGACAAATGCCAGCCGAAGACGTTGGCTACCGGTCACGCAACGTCGTGAATTGACAGAAGTTGGAATTCATGGAGTGGCCATTGGATCGGGTCCCAGTGGATTAATGGTCTACGAGCTCGCCTTGTAACCAGAAGGACCTGGGTTCGAACCCCGGTGGGTGCGTACTGATAAGGGGTCCCAAAATAGGACGAGATAGCCATCTAGTACTCCCAGTTGGTTTTCCAATGGTTCTCTAACCGATGTCAGCTCATGATGAAATTCTGTAGCTAACATATTGTTCGTTTATAGATTATAAAGTCGGTTTTAATATGCTTTCTTTTCTGACATTTGTCACTCTTCACACAACCGACAACCGTGCTAAATATAATGTGACTGAATTTTTACATTTATTTGGCCTTATGAGCATAAATTATTATGAAATTTGTCTTCTAGTTTCATCCGTCAACCAGTGTCACTGGCTAGTATTTATCCTGACACCCAACAACTTCGCAGACCCCACCGGTCACAACTTTCCCCTAGAAAGTCTAGTAATTTCTGTCCTGCAGTGGGTCACTAGTGGGAAGATTTTAAACCTTATGAAGCATTGGTAGATAGTGACTGACATTGTGTATTTCAAGATGTGTATTTGTTCTTATTTGGAACTCGATCAATCAGTTGGATGTAACTGTAATCCCAAGGGAGTGATACTTCCCCAATGAATAACGTCATCTTTTATTGTCAGGTATCGCCGAAGCATCCATACTAGGAGGTGCCGACATATTAACAGACACACAGCTAACACTTCAATCCTGTCAGCCGCCTCCACTAAGTTGGTAGAGTGACGCCTACGCCTACACACTGTTTAGAAAACATATATCTTTTCCGATTGATAGATTTCAATTGTCTGATATTAGAGCCAGTGAGATTAAAAAGGCCCTAAAATTTGTAGGCTATCTGGTCAGATTGTTAGCCAATGAAATTAACGGCATTAGACGAATTCAAAGGTCACTTGATCTCATTCACATCTATCACAAAAACTTAAATACATAGACGGGAAATATTGACTACTATTTGACTGCGTTTTCCCTTGAACATTCTGTAGGAAAGATACTCCAGCACTCGTATTTTTTTGGAGTGTTGAGCGAAAAGATAAAAAGATAGGCTTTAAGATGAACACTCTGGAGCCCTAAAGGAAAGTCTTGACATCTGTGTTCCACTGTATCGGAGATGAAACGGTCCCTGGCTGATGACATTGATTGGGCGTGGTATTATATGTCGAACTGACAAAAGGTGAAACTCATGACGGATGTCAGATTTCATCCTAGTAGCTCAACAGGTCAACGAGTTCACTTCTCTTCCTAATGAAGTCACAAGTTTGCACTGTTGGAAAGTCTGACAAGAGAACGCAACAAAGCAGATTGGAAGCCATGGTGTCCCTAGCATTGCCCAATTATCTGTTGCATACTATCACGGATGATAATCCTAATTACGGGGAATTGGATCATTCGGTTGACCATGCGCGGGGAGTGAGAAGACAGGAACACGTTGAACAGACAATAGGACTCTAGAAGATCTAGATTTCGCGGGTACATGATTCATGTCTATTATCAAATAAACTTGAGGTCTTACAGGCAAAAACCAACAACTTGATAGAAGAGTTTGACAGTGGAGACAGGACACTTCAAGTTAACAAGCACCAGTCACTGTCGATGGGAGAAATCTGAAAGAGATCACTTACTTCATCTATTTTGGCGCCATCATTTAAATTAAAGCAAGTAGAACAAATGAGAATGTCAAAACCAGTTTCAAAAAGACACACAGCATATATTCATCAGTCTGAAATCAGTTTAAAAATCTTCTTCACTCCGCAGCATAAAGAACAAAATTCTAATTTTCAAAACCAGTGCTATGTTGATTATTCTGTAGTGGTCAGAGATTCGGAGTGTACGTCACCAAAAGCATCTCCAATAGGCCGAAGACTGTTAAAAGCAGCTGGTGTCGCTGTCTTTACACTGAACATCAAGTGGCTAAAAAAAGGTTAGCATAAAGCAAGTTGGGTAGACAAGAGATCAATTGAAAACCTATTGCTCAAGAAATATTCCGAAGAAAAAGAAGATGGATGGTTTGGACACACACTGAGGAGACCATCGAATGAAATTGCATGCCAGACTATGTTCTACTCGAAACCGGAGTAAATAGGAATAGCAATGAAATAAATAAAGAAATAACGATGTCTTTTATCGATGAGATAAGAGCATTAAGCTACGTATTACTTTGTTTTGTTTACCCTTTGATAAACCAAAATGGTTGGTTTTAAAAATTTTCATTATAAAGAACATTTTATATTTCTATTAAATCTATTTGATTTTTCTCAAAAAATACAATTTTCAGATCTTATTCATCATCAGTGTTATCGTCTATGAAGAATTGACCTATAAGCGAGTTTCATCGAATGAACCGTATCATTTCCCTGGATGGGCTGTTAAATCTGGTTGGCTTATGGCCAGTTCCAGTGTATTCCTGATACCAATTGTTATGATATATAAAGTGCTTACAACATCAGGAACGTTTGTTGAGGTGAGTTCTCAGTCAATTAATTTCCTCTATGTATTCTCTCCGTGTTCCGAGTGGAAGGGGCGACTTCACCGTGGACGTTTCGTCAACTAATTCATCCTCTGTTCTTGGTCATGAGGAAAAACAAGAACGAGGCTTAATCTTGAGGAACTCAACAACCAATCACAGCAGACTTTGCGTGGGCGGATACGATCTCAGATATATTGCCGGACTGTCCAAGAAACGGAAACAGAGATGAAAGAATAACCTCCACCAAGAAAACAACTAATCAGAAGACGTTGCTTCTCTTCTAACAATAACGCTAATAATAATGTACATAAATATCTATAAATAACTATTGATTTTCTCAATAAACGGTCTGTTGCCTGGCCCTTGCCTTCTGTCGTAACAATATAACCACCATGCCAGTAGGCGGCTCTTCATTTCAGTGCACTTTGAATTGTTGATATTAGGTAGTTTAGATGGAGATTGGTAACGTCTCTGACTGCAGCATTGCACTGGGTGACATGGGTTTGAATCGGAGAGGGGACGTCATTAGTTACGAACTAGCGTCCCATCAAAACGCCAGGGTATGTAGACTAGACCACACTACGCCACGAGACTCACCTCTTACGGGTCAGCGGGCATCAGTTATCACATTCATTTTTAATTATATTTCGATTTCCCCGCTGATTGATAAAATGTTCGGCGTCTGTTGCTGACATGTCATCTCCAGTTGATGCGTCCCGAATCGGACGAAATGCGCCTCTCAGTGTACTGCACTGCTTGGCACTATCCCCACCAAAATTACTCCAAATTGAAGTCCTCAGACATCATTGAAGCGTCCGTACTACGTAGGGACCAACACATCAACACATAGGCCGAAGATTTCAGTCCATTCGGTCAAAGGGAAAGTCAAAATTAATTTGAAAACCAATAAAGATGACGTCATTCGGTTTCCTTTTTTTACTCTTCTTACTATTTTTTGTTTCTTTACACACTAGCGAATTAAAACTTTGTGTTTGCCGATCGTGGAAAATGAAAATGGACTAGTCGAAATTCCTAGTGAGTGCTTTTCAGTTCGCCTTTGTTAATTAATATATGAACAGTATGTGGGTTATCAATGTAAATGTTTTGACGAATCAAGATCCTTTTCGTCCTGGTTTCAGACTCTCCCAGAGATCAGACGCAAATGACTGTCAGGTTATACGGTAAGTTTGTCGACCACTAGGCCATTAGGGATGGAATCTAATACTAGATAAGTTTGTTTCAAATAGATAATAGTACTTATGGAGGAAACCGACACACACACACACACACTAATAAATGCTTAGACTAGACTTCAATTCATCCCATCCAGAATCGGTGAAGGAAGATAGGCTTAGTTAAATGTCTGTATAATCGGACTAAGAGTGAGCCTAACTAGTGAGTCAGAAGATTTAAATAATGAAACCAAATCAATAAAGAAAATGTTACTAGTGAATAACTATCTACCTACCAGAACTGACTCAGAATAGTATGAAGAACAGTAGTGAAAACCTAAGACTAGTGATAAAAATGACAAAAATAACGAAGAAAATAATATAGAATCTGAATCCTGTGTAGTAGTACTGTCGTATGAAGAAGGAATGCTGAAGGTCTTAGATAGAATTCTCGGTTAGGGTGGCTCTTGAACCAACCAGCCAACTGACACAGATATAAACTTTGTCGGTTTAAGGACCCACTTAAGTTCCAGTTAAGAAAAATCATATAAAATTTACGAAACGTCATAGGTCAAACTAGTGGATGGGGGTCAATTAAACTGAGAAAGATAGACTCTGCTAAGTTAAATAGCCTAGAAAAAACAGAGCTCAGCCATTATATTGCATTGCATTCCCTTGCATGTAATCACACTATATGGCGTGAGTGGGACAGGGTGAGAGCATTAAACAGTAATATAGTTAGGTGGAGATAGTGAGAGAGACGTTAATCACTGACTGAGTCTTTGTTTGTCGAATCAGTACACCGAACAAAGGCAATCAAAATGACGCAGCGCATATACTGGAGATACGGAAAGTGGCTATAAATAACAAAAGGAAGAAGAATAAACAGAGATTATATATATATATATAAGGCAAACTGTGAAGCTGTGTGACTAGACTGATATGATCAAGAGCAATAATTTATCCTCGAAACTTTGTTATCCAGTTGTTAATGCTGAGTCATCACTGTGTGTGATATTTAAAAGAAACTTACCTAACATGGAATCTGATGACCTCTGAATCCTCCCTTCCTTTGTGATGACATCATTTACAGTAGCACTTCCTGGGGTTCCTATTGGAACATACAGCTTCAGGTAAGATACATCATCTTTAGTTGGCTGCACAACTGTTCACAGGCTTTCCGTCACCTCATCAGACTCTAAATGGCGCTCAACGTGTCGCTTCCACTCAGGGTTCTACTCAAGTGGTGGTAATCTGTCTCTTCAGCGTATGTCTCCGGTCCATCTCGATTTCCTTTGACATGCTTATCAAGCATCAGAGTCTTGGGTGGATGGATGGTTTGCTGGTTGCCAGAGTCCCCAGCTACTTTACTCATTCTAGCCATTTGGTTTTGAACACTGAGGTGGCGAAAGTAGCTACTGATGAAACTCTGAAATTACTTGCTAGAAATACTTTTTGTTGTGAGTGTATAATAAGAGTAATAATAATAGATTTATTCCAAATAGTATTTTAGGTACAAATGTAGAATTTTCAGTATATGGTACAGTATTGCATCTAACTTTCTCATTACGGGGGTGATAATTAAAACATTACATTGATAATACTGTTTAATAAGAATATGAATATAAAATTAAACTTTGAGTTGTCCGTTTACTTAGAATTCTGCAGGAAGTTGGTAACGTCCTGCCTAACACACTTTTCTCATCATACATAGAATATATCCCAGACAAATAAGGTATAGTAGAGTTTTTATACTCCGTCGTTCAAGCGATAAAGTCTTCTGAAGTTGCTTCTAGTTCCACACCTACCTTATGACATGCGTGCAAGCGTGGAGAGAGTTCTGTATAGAGAGGATGCTCAAAGTCCATCTGACAAGATAATATTTGCTAATTTATTGCATGAGTCCTTGTGGCCACCATCTACAACGATTATAACGACTTTAGTGCCCTTCGTAGTATAACATAGCAGTCTTTCTTAAGTAGTCCAGGATAGATTCAGGTAGGTGCGTAGGGTAGATCAGTAAACAAGAATAGGCAGAATACTGCTAGAATTAACTAACTTATAAAGTAGAGACTGACTGATTGGTATCAGGTTGTCTTGTAACGTAGAACGTTAGACGAAATATCTTTCTAAAAGCTAACATGATGTGGGAAGACCAGAAGAGGTGATCAGAGGAAATACACAGTTCAAGGTATATTTAACGTTCATTTTAGTTTCAGCTTCTGTGCCATCTATGATAGTAAAAACATACGCCTTAACCAGTTCATGTAAGACGTGCTTGGATCTGGAAGTGAATTTAACAATCTGACATTTGAAGGGCGGATCTAGCTAAAGACCACTTGACCTTGAGGACCACTGACTAATTTTCAATACAACGTTGTTTATTTTAGAACAGTGTTACTGAAAAATAACCACTGATATAGAAGCAGTCAGATGATCGCCGACATACTTAGACAAACTGGCTTCATCAGAATAAGGAATGTAAGTCATGTAAGAAGAAATGAAACACAACAGTTATTTAAGGAACACTGGGTGCAGTAAGTGAAGCATTGATTTCATATAGAATCACTTACTGACTTGACATTAGTGTTGTCCCTTCTAACGAGTGAGGGAAACTTTCACACTGACCTCATAGTAATGAAGGCGTCTGTCTTTCTTGCTTTTCCAATCTTTACCGACTTATACACCGTCATGCTATATTACCTCTGTCTAGATAGTAAATTAAAGAGGTGACTTTTATCAAAACGTTTCTCCCATTGGTAATGATTGATACTTGCTACTGATGGTCATCGGGTGTTTTCGTCACTTCTGTATGTGTTACTTGAATTCCTGTCTTTGTTGCCTACCCCTCCTGTCAACTTGTTGGTTTTCACCAGTAATTTTCCAACCTTGTTTCTGACACACATGATGAAAGAAACTGAAGGCTGTTGAGTAGACGTTCTAAGAATCTAACGTAGGTCCTTCTTCTTTGTGTTTTTTCCAACGTGATCACTCACACGGATCAACAAGTGGATTAGTAGAGACAGTTAGCAGTAACATATGACGGGTATTTACCTATTTTCGATTTTAACAGTGGGCAGGATGTTTGAAGCAGAGGTAATAAAAATAATTTGCTTTATTCTAACAACCAACAGTACTTATCATACAGTGTGGAACGCTCAGCACTTGCTACAATATTACCGCATCTAATCTAATCTAAAACAACACTAACAACAATAACAACAACAGAAGAAATACATCACAGGCAACATTCAACCAAAATTATTCATAACATACATCAACAACTTTTGTTACTGGCGGAAACACTAGACTCAAAATGATGCACAAATATAAAATGACAAGAACAACAACAACAATGATATAAGTATTAATAACACGAAATAACAAGATAATCGAGATAGTGAGTGTCAGCATAAAATCACAGATAAAGGAGAATGACGGAGCCGTTTCTCTCTAGTGCTAGTTACACAGTAAGTCACAAGTTCCACGTTTAACACTATTCCTAATACGTCGCACGTGGACGGGTGGGGTTGGGCCGAATAGGATGTGGTATGAGCGAAAATATAATCATTCATGATGACTTCTCGTCCTACCATATGAGATAGAGTAAAGGGGAGACAGAGTTTTGAATAGAGAGGGTGATAAGAATTAGACAGTATGGATTTAGAGCATTTCTCACATAACTTGTTCAGATATCTGTCGACTATGATAGTGACGAGCTGACTAGGTGGTGGCACACAACTCACCCTACTGACAACCTTTTGGACCCTTCCCCTCTCAATTTTGAGTAGACCAGGAAAGACTGTGTGTAGGGGAGCCATAAATTATTATAGCTTAGATATAAGAGTTAACAAACTGTAAGAATATTGGTTGAGTGATTCCAGATTCTCTCAACTTCAACATGTGGAATGGGGTTAGACTGAGCATTTCCTTAGAAATCAACGAGATATGTGACAGATGAGCAACAACTGTGAGAGGATAGAACTATATCGAGGTATTTAATATTTGACTTGACTTGTTATCTTTATCAATGTCCTCTAAGTTACAAGCATCGTGTGAACTGATGAGTTGGTTAAGACCCCGTCTATTCCTGAAAATGAGTGAAATTAACTGTGTGACACTCAGTAAAGTGATTTAATGTGGGAAAGTTAAGCTTCGACCACCGGCTTATGTCTGGAAGCAACTGGCTATAAAGGAGTTGATATCATGGAAAGCTTATTTCACATATGACATCTGGGAACTAAGTCAGAAGTCAATGTATATTCGAGGACATATTTTGCTTCTTTGTTAAGCAGGAAGCAATATTATGACGTAGTACAACAGCAGAAGCATCTAAAGTAGATATACTCTGTTTACATGTGAATTCTTTAGGGTCACAGAATCCCTTCAAGGAATGTTCAAGGTTGAGTGGATGTAATTTTTCTATTAATTTCATGAAAGCAGAAGTGTTATAGACAGGTCTGAATTTAACATTTAACCAGTGTATTATTTAAGTGTGTCTTTTCTCCAAGCGTCAGATACAGCATTATTAGAAGAAGTAGAAGCATTGAAAATGGTAGTAAGAGGATAACATAAAATATCTGCACAAATTCCGAGGGTAAGAGCAGACAACGCTTGAATAAATATGCAACTAACGTAACAAAAGCCTATCATAGATAGGTAGATGACACACTCACTGTATGAAATTGTCTATACCACGCTTCGTATCCACTATTTGGGCTATTCATGAGTGTATATGAAAGCTTTAATTTCATCAAAATGGGACACGAAGACAATGGAAGATCCAATTTCCTAGATATCCACTTGAAGAGAAGAATAGATAGCACACTCACAGAGGATAGATCTATCTCAGTTAGCTAATAA